CTAAGAAATGACTGCCAAGTAGAAATCCACATTCCTGATGTTTTGACAAAAACTTAAGTCCCCAGAGCGAATCTAGCACTCTCTACTTTTATCTATCTATCTATCTATCTATCTACCTATCTATCTATCTATCTACCTATCTACTATCTCAGACAGATAACTACACTGAAGTTTAGCCATGGTGTGCAAATTTTAAGGGCATTATGTTCCCACATAATTGTGTATCCAAAAGGGAAGGCTGCCAAATGACCATCAAGCCCAATGATTCAGGGCCACACTGACATACTCACTTCTGATACAGGTTGTTGTTTGTATTTTCTAGAAATCATTGTCTCCATTTGGGAGATTAAACAGTAAACAACATCCCTGGTAATGAGATATTCTCTTTATGCTAGAATACACTGGCAGAAAATTTAACAAATTTAGGGGGTAAGCAGGAGTAACATAAAAGTTCTCACTTTACAGTTCCTTGGACCTTAATGAGCCTGTTGATAAGGCAACATCTTAACCACAAATGATTCTCTTTTTTTTTTTGCTTTAAGATTACACCTTGTAAAGTAAAAGATCTACTCAAATGAATCATATTAGAGCTTCTGAACATGTTCATATGCTGAGGGAAAAAACAATTCAGTCAATTTTGGATTTTTATACTTCAAGGTTCTTATCTACTAATGGATTAATGCTTTTTAGTCACATTTGATGCCTAAAAATTTAAGAATCTATTTTTCTGAAAACACAACATGAGTTATAGAGTATATGCCTAGTCATGGACAAAATAATATTGCCAAAGAACTTTCTGAGATGGGGAAAAACTTTAAGAAGGTGGCAGGAGGGGGAGAAGGAGCAGGGAGGAGCACCTTGGCAAACATCAGATGTTCACTGTTCAGCGCTGTGTCAAATAAGATCACTAACACTTACCTGTGCTGGGGTCAATTTTGATAATTGTAGTTGATGTCTAGAAGCAGGGTTATGAATATAATTATCATGAAGCAGGAATTGGGCAATCACAACCTAATTAAGCCCATTGACTAGATTATCTTGTTTTCTCCTAATAATCACACAACATTTAACACTTGCTAATTTGAGGACCTATGGGTGATGTTCATTCATTATTAACAAGCTACAACCACTGGTCAGAAAAAGAAGAGGTAAGGTACTCTGAAACACTGAGTCAACAATAGGATAGGATGAGATAAATTTCACTGTTAGTGGACATCTGTTTCTGGAATACTCCTTCACTTCTCGGTACGACGCCCCCCATTACTAAGTAGAGGTAAAGCCATGGGAGAAGATGGAATGACAATGAGAACTTTTACTCTCAAGTGGAAGGATGTAATTCTGTTTTCTTAAATGTATACTACTTTATGTGACCTATACAATGTTTGTTGTTTACAATGACCATGGAAACTATCTTTAAAAATATGGCTTTCATTTCTTTTTAAGATAATGGATGAGGGGCCGATTTAGCTCAGTGGTTTCCACCGCCTGCCTCACAAGCACAAGGTGCCGAGTTCGATCCCCAGTACCAAAAAAAAAAAAAGATAATGGATGATTCCTTTGCCAAGCATGCATACGTAAACTTTATGCATTGAAATTTGCCATCCTCCTGTCTCAGCCTCCCAGAGTGCTGGGATGAAGGCTGAGCTGAAAGTTGCCATAAACTTGATACATTTACTTCCTTGAGACAGGTCCCAAAGCTCCCTCTCCTACTGTACCTCTCATATTGAGTGTGTTCTCAAATTCAGTGTCCTATGACTGTCACTACACCCACAAAGAATGCTGACCAAATTCACCTCAATTGTGCAAAGCAGTTCTTTAGGATGGCCTAGGTAAGTTTCTCCTTAAAGAACTAGGAGAAAGAGTAAAGAGGGCCAGTGATTTAGCTTAATGGTTCCTCCACCTGCCTCGAAAGTGCAAGGTCCTGAGTTTGATCCCTGGTACCAAAAAAAAAAAAAAAAGGGCTGGTCTAAGAGTGAAGAAACAAGTTGAAGATTGGTCTTTTAGACAGGCTAGGATGAGGGATATTTTAGAAGGCCAGGCATTACTGATGAGGGTCACAGTTTATGGTAGGTAAGGCTGAATAGAGTCCCTAGTCCTGTAAATCAGAAGTTCTTTCTAGAGAATTACACGCTTTTACACTCTTCAGCTACATAGTTATTTTTTTCTGAGGCTTTTTCTCATTAAAAGGCTTAATCTAAGAAAACAATAGGCAGTACTACTGAGGTGGAAATGAGCAAAGCGTGTTATATGCATGTACAAATATGACCCTCAAAATCCACGATTCTATACAACTAATATGCACTCATAAAAGAAAGGGGGAGAAAAGAATGGTTTTGGAGCTGGGGGTGTAGTTCAGTGGTGGAGGGCATGCCCAACACAAGAGAAGCCCTAGGTTTGATTCCTGGAACCACAAAAATAGAAAAGAGAGGAGAAGAGAAGAACTAAAGAAGAGAACTAAGAAGAAAACAATCGTTTTAATAAGTTTGATAGATAATGATATGGATGAGGTAAAAATGGATGAGTCTGTGGTCTCCTCTAGTATACTTTATCTTTTTTTTTTTTTTTTTGGTACCGGGGATCGAACTTGGGACCTTGCCCTTGTGAGGCAGGCGCCGGAACCACTGATCTAAATCCCCAGCCCTTCTAGTATACTTTATAAACAGGACACAGGGCTGGCGAGGAGGCTCAGTGATAGAACACTTGCTTAGTATGTGTGAGCCCCTGGGCTCAATCCCTAAACAAACAAAACAAAAATCAGGATGCACATTTATGCTTCTACAAGAGTCTTGATTATGGGTTAGTCTGGGGACCACAGATCAACTGAACGGATCCATAGCACAGCGAAGATTTAGAGCTGAAATCTGCTTAGCAATTAAGGCCCAACTGCTTGTCATACAGAAAAGCTACTGTCCTGGATATCATTGAGGTATTTGGAGCTGTTCTATCTCCCTTAGTACATACAGCCTGTTACTCTATTAAGGGCATTTATGGTCATCTATGAACACCAGCTTCCTTACTGTATTTTAATGTTTCAGGGAAAGGCAGGTAAGACTGAAACACTCCTCATGTCTCCATGATCTAAAGAGAGCACACAGTAATTATTAAAGGGGGCAGGTAGTAATTGCACCCACACTTTTAAGTGAATCTGCCTCATTTTCCACAAATGACCATTAGATGGTAGAGCTAATTTTCAAACGACTGTGCAGTTTTTTGAAAAGGTTTTTCAGGTTTAAGGTAAATAAAGCTAACATGGAGCACCGTGACTTTTAAGAGGGACCCTAAAAAACAGAAAAGTAAAGCACTTTTTCTACATGGAAAAAACAAGCCACAGCATCTTTCTGCCATATAACAGGTAGATGCACTTTTTTGTTTGTTTGTTTTGCATCAGGGTTTGCTTTTTAATTCAGGCTGGCCTTGAACTCACTGTGTAGCCTACACTGGCCTCGAACTCATGGTGATCCTCCTGCCTCAGCCTCCGAGCGGTGGGGTTACTGGTGGGCACACGACTCTTAGCATGCTCTTTTTAAAGATCCATGTGTACAAGTACTTTACAAGCTTGATACAACTTAAAAATATTTATTCTCTAAAGTGCCCCTACATGGTTTCTTGTTTTGTTTCTCCCATCATCTCCTTTATAACCCAAAATGAAAAGAAGGTACTGTTGAGTTAAACACACTTTGTCAATCTATTGCACTGTTATATCTCTCATATCAACCATTATATTGTAATTAATTTTCCATTATGTGCAGATTTCCTTTCAGAACACCAAAGATATACTCCTGGCAACTAGAGGAGATAAAGCATCAGGAACAGACGCTATTAGCATACTAAGTACTAACCAAGGCCAGGTCTCACCAGTCCAGAGCCAGAAATAGGGAGGCAGTTGCCTTTCATGTGAATCCTGGCTCCCTACCTTGTAGCCCCATGACCTTGGGTAAATCACTTTACCTCCCTAACTCTTTGGTTTCCTCCACCATATGAATAGTCCCTGGTTCATACTAAATGTAAAACAAATGTTACTTAGAATTAATATTAGCTATCAGTCAAACCAAGAGGGGAAGCAGCATTTTTAGAAGGACTATATGATATTACTACTGTATTCAGGAATGGCAAAATAACTTGATGAAGCAATCATATTTATTCTCTATCACTCTTAGCCAACATTAGGACAGACAACCCTCAACTGAGAGAAGAGAGGAGAGAAGTTCTGCAGCTCAATTCTGACATTCAAATGAAAATGGTTTCCACACAGACACTTCTCCCAGTTAACATTATTAAATACTAATAAACAGTCTTCAGGAAGACTACTTAAGAGTCAAACTAGCAAAGAGAAAAGTCTGGGTGGTAACTATTAGTCATGTTGAAATCTTTACATGATCTCTAACTGGTTTCTATCTTTGGTCATCTTCAGTCTGTAACCCAGTATTCAAATTTTACCCCAAAGATTTTACCCCTAGATTAGGTAGGTCCTTCACAATCTGGGTAAAAAGAATGGTGCTCAATTGCTGACTAATTGTTCATAACAGAGGGATGATGTAATTAGGGATTAGAGTGGCTAAACATCCTGCCTCACAGTAGCCTTATTTTGGATTTTAAAATGCTAAGAGTGGATTGACAGACCAGTCTTTGACGTTTGGGATCAAGCAAATGGCTTAATCCTCAACTGGACACCAGGTAGTAGTCATGATCCACTCTTTCCTCTCTGAAATAAGCATGACTTTGTTCTTCCTTTCTTCTAATACCCAGAGGGTAGATAGAGAAGCTCTATGGATAACCTTAGAGAGGACTATCACATTTTCTTCCCATTAATAATGCAGCTATTTTCTACTGTGCTCTAGTCTCTACTTCGTTCATTTTCCAGGAAAATCTCTACCTAGGCCTACTTAACCAATTCCCTCAAGGTTCCATCTGTCCTTTGTCAGAAAAGGCTGTATTTGTAACACAGAAGTCACACAAATAGTCTCCCAAGCCCAGTTCTATTTTTTACAATAGGAACTTACCAAAGAATGTGGATCTGAGCTCTGGTCTTCATATTTCACATGCAATAGGTACCAAATTACAAGGTCTTTTTCTACTTGCTGTATTGTTTTCTTAAGAGCAAGGTCTTACTTCCTGTAGGTTCTTCTCAGTGGACAGACCTCTTCTATTTTGACTTGTCAATTACTCTCCTACCTCTTTGTCCTTTTCCCATCCAAGTAGACTCTCCTTCCCAGCAAATTTCTACCATATAATTACAGCAATGCTTTAGCCTACTTTTCTGTTAGCTTAACAACCCTGTCTATTTTCTACTTGTGCTGATGCTACTGTTTGCTTTTCTGACAGACTAATCCATGTATCCTTTCAAGGCCTAACTTCCCCTACCATGATAGCAGCTGGAGCTCTAATTCATAGGTGCCTTCCAAAGCTTTTCATTAGCAACAGAAATGAGATGGTTTAGAAACCCATTTCTTAATCTGCAGGTGAGTATTGGAACCTTTGTGTAGCAAACATCTTTCAAGTATCCCACATTGTGCCACTGCACAATTATTTTCTGAGTAATAAGTACAATGTTATAGGCACATTTGTAGTGTTAAGAGGGAAAATGTTCCCTCTGAGGAAATCAACTTTCACCCTGCTGCCTCTAGCATTTCCCAGCTCAAGGCAGAAGCCCTAAGCAGAGATGAGCAAAACTGAAGAATAATGGCTTTACCTTCTTACATCTGAACAGAGAAGAGAAGAATTAGAATCCAAAATTCAAGGGCCTTAGCTTGTGTTCTGGTTTAACTGGCCAAACAACAGCTTCAGCAGTGAGTGTGGCCTTCCTCAGGTGGGCTTTGTGGCAGATAAGCCTTCCCACAAATCCTGGGCTTAGTTACTTCTGAAACAGTTGTCCACCATAGGCATCCAGCTCCTTTTGTGCTCTAACCAATCTGAATCCAAAGGTAAGTCTCTGCTATTCACCTTGGGCAAATGCCTAAAACATTTAAATCAGGATCTATTGCTTCCTAGTAGTATTTTCCCCATCTTTCCTTGCATAGCATATGTTAAAATCTACTTGAACACCTACAAATAAGTTCCTGAATTATAGAGTCCTCATCTTCAAGTATTTATTTAGTTTTTTAACACATGAATACCTACCAACCCTCCCTTCACCCCAATAGGCAGGTTCTACCCTTTGAGCGAAGGTAGGGGGTTAAGATGTGGACAGGCACAGCCTAAGTATTTTGCTAATATCCAGAAGCAACATGAAGTGAACTAAACAAGCAAACACAAGAAAGCAAGGAAATCAATACCAAAATACCCATGACCTGGCATGAAAAGAAATCTTCCCTCCAAGAATAACTCAAGAAGCAATGTCTCCAGCTAGGAATTAGAAAAGAATGCTTTGAAGCCACCAGAAGCAAAAGACAATGCACCTGTAGGTGACAATACCAGCATCCTTTGCCACCACACGACTTTACCTCTCTGAGCCTGAAAAAACAACTTTGTGTTGAAGGCACACTCAACAATTTCAAAAATCTATGGATGCTTCAACTGATGAGGACAGAGGACCCTGGGGAGAAGATAACTTTTATGTTAGCATTGCCAAGCAGAAAATGTAAATCCAAATTACTTCCAATGGACTTATCATTTATTATCTGTGCAGTTCTCCAGATACAAAGCTCAAAGGGAAAGCTTCCTAGTAAACTGCAAATACAATCTAAATTCATAAAAATCTACTTTCCTGCATTTGGAAACTTCTGCTAGGTCTTACAAATCCAGGAGACAGTTCAACTTAATTATCTTCCTTCCAATGCCCCCCACCCCACAAAGCCAAACTTTTTTCTTCTTCCTTCAGCACTGGCATGCAAACCATGCTGTTTTAACTTCTTTCCTGTTCTCCCAGTTCTTCTGGAACATTTTATTTTCGACAGTCAACTCATTTGGAGGAGTGCCACATTGAGGTTCAACTGTTTACAACGTTAACTGTGCTTCTGCCAGAAGTCCACATTGAGCACTACCTTCTCCAGACTGCCTCCTGGATTAAGAATTTATGGGTTCGTTTGGAAGAAGCTTAGAAAACGTGGAAACTTCCAAACATCACTCTTCCTCCTTACAAAATATTTTTGCTTATCCAAGAGGGGACAGAAATGAAACCCATTTCACTCTTCCTAGAGTACATTCCTATCATTCATGATTAAATATTGCTTGTGTTGTTAAGTCATTTTAATTACGACTTCGTGGATAGTGGGGAAAGTAGTAAGCCACTGGTTTGCATGAGAAAATTGGTCTCCAAGAAAATACAAGAGGGCTCCTATCTGAATGACTGCAGAACCCTTGAAAATCACCATGAACTATTTGAGACTGGATTTCACCCTCTCAGTTACCCCTCAGTATTACAAAATGACATCTCTGAAAGAAGCCAATTTAAATCTGTCCCACATTGCAAAACAGATCCTCAGAGTCCAATTGTGGGCACTTTTGTAAGTTGCAATAGACCCGGACGAATTTCCAAAGAAGGGCATTTGAAAAAGACTTCCAAGCCCTGGATGATGGAACAAGAGAGAAGAATAGGAAGAATTATGAGAAATACACAGCTACAAACCCAATAGCTGAAGCTTAACTAAAAGTCACATGAACAAAATTGTTTCCAGAACTATGACTGAAACACACCATGCTCAGCCTGGGATCCCCTAAAATGTTAAATTCAATTAACAAGAATCCAAACTCTTGTCCCAGTGGTGTATGTATGACAGCAGTTTCTCAGAGAGCCCTGGGTCCTCAAGAGTACAGCTGTTTCACAATGTGTCAATCAAGTGCATCTGGGGAGGTGGAAAGGGCACTGTGTTGCAGGCAGACCTGAGTTCTAGGCCTGGCTTTGTTACAGTTGAACTTTCTGACCTCCTTCAAGTTGCTTCATGTTTTTCCTCTTCAGTAAAATGAGGGTGGAGAGAGGATATTTGAGGTATATTATCACTCTAAGGCATTAAAAAAAAACAAACCTAGCTTCTAAATCGGAAGTTCTGCCTGGCAGTATTAAATACCTCATATTCCCCTCACTTACCGTATACTCACTTATAGTGTGCATATTTGTCAATTTTTAATTGACTTCCATGTTAATTTCTACTTGGGAAATAATATTTTGTCTAACATCCCAAAATCTCAGCTTATGCTCCCTGCAGTATTTTTTTTTTCATATTACACTAAATGCCTCTTCTTTTCCTTTCTTTCTTTTTTTTTTAAGCAACCTTCCCCAAACTAAGAGTTGTGCTATTAAAAGAGCTTAGAACTTCCCATTTCCTTGCTAGGGCTAAAATTAAACTGTCCATTCCTTAGGGCCCAACATAACATCTGCCAGATGTCTTGGCATATCACACAGTAGAAGAATTTTCTTCTAGCATTATCTACTCTCTTCTCTATTTTCTCATAATCAATTAATAGGTCACCAACACTTAGCTAATGTTTCTCCCAAAGCCATCAACTTCCTATGTATGTGAATCTCACAAGATACTTGCTTTCATACATGCACATACATACATACAAGCTGATACATTTTCCAGCTCACTGGATTTTACCCATAGATCTTGGCAATCTTCTCTCCCCACTTCTTTTTGAATTTCTCTAGTTTCCATATACTAAACCATGCAGTCATAAACTCACGTCCGATCCTTTGCTATCTGAATTTATTATTTATATACTTCTTACTCTATGACTGCAGCGTCATGAAATGGCATCACTCTTCTCCAGTCACTAACTTAAACTATTCTACACAGCTTTGTCAATTTTCTATCCCATGACATAGCGAATTATCAGTCTGGAAAGGCACAGATCACAAAAAAGACAAGAAATCTCAGCATCAAGGAATAACTCTAGGCAGACTAGAACATATTAAACTCCATCACAGAAAACAAGACTTTCCTGAGACAACCTTACCATTCTTTTCCTTCAAGAAAACTGACCACAAGTACTTTAAAGCCCATTAGTGGAGTCGGACTTTTTTCCCTCCTATCTTCCAGAAGACTCATTAGGAATAGACATAGTTTTGTGTTTTGGTTTATTTTCCCCTCTAAAAGTTGTCTCCAACAGGGGTGGGAGTGAGGGGTCAGACGGAGAAATCCTTAGGGAATAGTCAATGAATCAGACTGATATAAAAGCAAGATGAGAAATATTATGGAACATGAAGATCCAACAAGAATCTCTTGTATGGCAGTGTCCATCATAGCTTACATATATTTCTTCATAAAGACTTCTCTTTGTGATACATTAGAAGTGATAGCAAAATTTTGCCATACTTATGAGCCTCATGAACTTGATGTCAAAAACAAAAAGAATTTTTAAACTTTGACAGTAAATCAGAATGTTCAATCTGACACTCTTATTTCTCATAGTGATATATCCAAAATACATTCTAGAAAGATTTAGGAAACCATGTCTTTAAATAGTATGGTGCTTGCCATGTTGATGAAGTGCAAAATCCATGGCTGTGTCTCTTAGGTTACCACTTAGAACATATTCTCAAACTCCAAAAGGCCTCTTAGAGAAGCTCATTTTTTTTCCCTTAAAAAAGCTCACCTGAGGCCATCTCTAAAGACACTGAAGTCCCTGGTTGTAATATGACAAATACAGTGAGTCAAACTGATGGACAGGCAATCAGTTTGTCACCCCCCCCAACTGAAATAAATAAATTAACCATTCTCTCTTCTGCTCTCAGTAACAATAAAGATACCATAAAACTTTGTTTCAAGATCAACATACAGTATATTTGTTTAGATAAACATATATAATTAGATGCAAAATTGTCTGATAACCACTTTCCCAAATAACTCGTTATCCACTACATTTGAGCTTCCAAGTTTGAACACCTAGCATCCATATGTTCATTAAATATAACAGTGATGACATTTCACTTAAGAACAGAAGTAATGGTAGCAAGGGAGAACATTCAAAAATGAAGAATGAAAGGTATGGTTGCAGGTACGATTTTTTTTTAAGTGTTCTTGGAGAATCTTAGATTTTCAATAAAGGAGCAGAAACCTAAACAAGTATGTTTTAAATAAACATACACATCAACTGAAAACCACATATCCTCTTCATCTGTGAAAACAGGGTTTTACTTCATTGACCATGGACAATTATCAGCTAAAGAACCATGTTTCCCTTCTCCTTTCACACCCCTCAGAAGAACAATAATCCTCAATTAATGACACAACAGTTTGGTTAGAAAAATGTGATGCTGTCATATACTGCATTGTGCCTTTACTGAGTGACACTGCTACAAGGTACTCAACAGAATATAATTACACCTGGAATCAAAAACCACTTCAATATGCACAAAAATACTGTAGACATGGGGAACTTCACACACAATGATTTGACACATAATGAGAAAGCAAAGCAAGAAAAAAGCTGGTGCAAGTCGCTCACCAACATGTTCCTTATTTCTGTTGGAGCTGGTACCTTTCTGTATTTCTCCTGAGTTGAAAGCAAGGTCCAATTAGTCCCCTCAGATTACATTAATTGGTTCTGAAGCTTCTCCAAGTTTTCATCTCACTGTGGAGCTCTCCTCACCTATCTTTAATAGTCCATCTAAAATTCTTCTAACATCTTTCCTTATCCTCAAGATGGCTACCTTATCTAATGGAAAAGCAACATCTTCATTGTTGACTTTTATAAATTCCTGAAGCATTTTAGGATTAGTTCTTTCCTTGGGTCAATTACATACATTCTCTAGAACTAATCTGGAAAGAGCTTCAAATCAATGTGTGGACTGGGGTAGGACAGGGTCCCTTTTTCATATCATCCTCACAAAATGTCTTCCTACAAGATTAATAAATTCCTCCAATTAAAAAGGTGAAGACACCTGGACATAAGATTTTCTCAACTGACACAATTTGTTTCCATAGTGACATTATTAAGTTAGACATACTGATATTGCTGAAGACTTACAGTACTTGAGAACACAGGGGGAAAAAATAGCAGGAGAGGGAAACGGGGAAACAAAGGAGCTAAAAGAAGGCCTAACATACAAATGGAACAACGTGAAGAAAAATGTAGAACCTGGAGAAACTGCTGTTAGTCAGCCAGTCTTAGAGTTCTCTGACAACTTGCAGGAATATTTTTTTTTCTTTTCTAGATTTTTTTTTTTTTTGCAGAAATAATACTCAACCAGACAATAAAGTCTTGCAAAGCCTCAAACATGATGATCACCAAGCCCCAGAACTCAAAAAAAAATCTCAGCTTTGGGCCACCACCATCTGCACAATGAAGAAATAACATTTCCTGGTGACTTTCAGGAGACCTGGAGAACGCAGCTTTAAATTGTGAGAAGACCTCAGTGGAAATGTTTAAGGTTTTGCCTTGCCTGTCCTGAAGGAGGTCAAAACCCTTCAGGTCCACTCAAAAGGAGAAAAAAAAAAAATCCAAAAGTTTACTCTAAAATGGAAACAAATGTCTCAATGACTTGTGAAAGCACTCCTTGGGTAGGGGAAAAATCTGAGGAACCCCCAGAAGTCCTCATTTCCTTGCATAATGAATAGAGAGTGAGGAACCACCACCATGTCTCCCTCTGGAGAGGGAGAAAAGAGTAGGCAAGCAAGCTTCCTCCTCCAGCCATCACCAACTGAGCTTCAAAATGGAGACAACCATAATTTTATAAACACTTCTCATCTCAGCTTTGTCTCCTGGAAACCCGTGCTCTCCTCCATTTTCTGGTGGAGTTACAAGACACGGTTTACCTGACTCAGTTCCCAGCTCTCAACCAAACTAGTCACTTCCTTCAAAAACCTGCAAGCAACCTCCAGAAACAAAACCAAAGCAAGCCAAACAGCCAAGACAGACACTCAGACGCAGCCCCGGGGGACCTAGGAGAAAGCCCCAACTGGTTGGTCTTTCCCCATCCCAGTCGCGTGGTTAAAAATGAAACTTTTTTTTTTTTTTTGGTTGGGGAGGAATATAAAAGGAACTCTCCAGGCAACCTCCCTCCTTCCTCCCTCTCTGTAGGTTAGAAGCTTCAATGAAAAGAAAATGAGGGTTCCTTGAGGAATGGTGAACAGCCTGGAGAATGAACGTGAGAAGGAGCTTTGTGTTTTGGAGTCTGGACTGGAACCAAAGCAGACAGCTTGCAAATGGAGGACAGGGAGATAAAGAAAGGGAAAGAGAGGGGCTGCTCCAATGGGGGGCGGCTGCGGCTTCCCCTCGCGCCTGGAAGGGGGGCAGACCCCTGGGAACCGCAGCAGAAGTGAGACGCCCCCCCCCCCCAGGCCCCTGTCTTCCTTTCTCTCTGCCTCAGAGGAGAGCCAAACGTGTGTAATGGCTTCTCCTCTCCAGAAACCGTTGTCCTCCTCCACTAGGCGCTTCTGAACCTCCAGCCTGGAGACAGCTCCTCAGCTGCTCCTCAACCTGCGCCGCCCCCCCACCCGGCGCGCGCGCCCCCCACCCTGCTCCTCGCCTCTTTCCTCGCCCACAGCGGCGACAGTGGCCACCCCCCGACACATCCCAACCCCGCATCCCAACTTCAGGGAGAGAGAGAGAGAGAGAGAGAGAGAGAGAGAGAGAGAGAGAGACAGCGAGCCAGAGCCAAATACCTGAGGAAGAGGGGGTGCCAATCCGCACGGCTTTGCCATCGGGTGGGGGACAGGCAGATAGAGGGGGTAAAGGAAGGAGAGGGACAGAGAGAAGAAAGAGGTCAACCCGCTCGGGTCGGGCCGCTCGCTCCGAGTGCTCGCTCCCCTGACCCTCGCTCGCTCCCTTCTGGCTCGGGCACAGGTCCCCTGCCTCCCGCCCTCCGCCCCCTTCTCCGTCCCTACTCCTGTCCCCACGCTCGGAGCATCCGTCCTAAGCCTCCAGCTCTCTTCTCACTCATCTTTCATTTTCTCTTCTCTTCACAGAACTACACGAAATTAATTAAGCGCTCGCTCGCCCGCTCGCTCGCCCCCCCCCTCGCAGAAGGAGCAGCCAGCAGGAAAAGCACAGCCACCTCCACCTTCTCCTTCTCTTCCTCCTCCTCTTCCTCCCTCGCTTCTCCTCCTCCTCCTCTTCCTCCTCCCCCTCCTGCTCTCCCTCCTCCCCCTCCTCCTCTTTCTAGCTTCTCCTCTTCCAACAGCCAGTCCATGCATGCAGGGAACTCCCGGTGCTCCCCGCTCCGCCAACCCTCCTCGGCCGAATGAATGAGCGCGTCGGTGCCTCCACCGCCCCGCGCTCTCCTCCCCGGCGCACTCAGACCACCCGGAGGTGGTGGTTAATTGCAGTAACTTACAGAAGAAGCGTCCCGGCGCCGGGAGGTGCTTCGGGTTCTCCAGCCCCACCGCCTCCTTATCCTCTTTCTCTTTCTCCTCTTCCTGCTTGGGTTATTGTTGTGGAAGTTGTTTAGGAGTCTCATGTGCTTCTGCCGGGTCTCAGCAATGGAGGATCGCCATCTTCCCTGCCTTCCTCGGCTCCTCAGACTCGCTGCAGCGGCAGATGACCTGAGATATCCGTCTCTCTCTCCCTCTCCCTCTCTCCCTCCCTCCCTCTCCCTCTCACTCTCTCCCCTCTCTCTGCTCTTCTCTCTCCTCTCCTCCCTCTCCCTCGCGCGCTCTCTCCCTCCCTCTGAGTCTCTCTCTGAATAATGAGCAACCAGAGGGAGAGAGAAAGCAAGACAGAAAGAGAGAAGGAAGACAATCTTCTGCCACACAAAACGCCGGAGCACCAGGGGGTGCGCGAAGCCTTTCTAATAACAACAACAACGTGCAGGAGTGAGGAAGGGGGAAAAAGAAAGAGATGGGAAAAGGGCTGGGGGGGTGGGGGACGGGACAGAATTATCCAGGAGCCAGAGAAGCGCAGGAGAAGCTGGAGGAGATGCTGAGGTTCTGCTGCGGACCCCCCCCCCCCGTGAACCCCAGAAGGAGGCAAGGTGGTTGCAAAGTTAAGGCTGGGACATTGTCTTTGTCACTCAGAGCAACACAGAGCCAGGCCAGTGAGATGCAAGAGGAGGAGGTGGCGGTGGCGGCGGCGGCAGTGGAGAAGGAGGAGGTGGTGGAGGAGGAGGAAGAGGAGGAGAAGGAGGCAAAGGAGGAGGAGAAGGGGAAGAGGGAGATGAGATGAATAAAGACCTGCGGAGAAGGCGGTGCGAGGAGCGCGGCCGCCGGGGCTGAGGCGTGCGCGCTCGCGTCCCGGAGGCGCCCGGCCAGGGCGGCCGGCGGAGGAAGCCCCCAGTGTGGACCCTGCCCCGCTGCACATAGCGCTCCCACCATCAGCCCTGCCCGAGGCTCCCGGCCCCACAGGGTCCCTCACATGTATCCATCTAGAGGCCAATCTTTGGAAAGAACAGACGCGGGGAACTGGAGGTTGCAAGTCTAAACCCAGATCAACCACGTGGGGCTTTTTAATTCCTTTCCAGCTTGCGGTGTGAGTATTTCCAGTGAAAAGCTCAAGTTGTCCATTACTGGCACGAATTTTGAAGTCTTCCTCCCCGAAATAAAGGCTCATTGTACGTTTTATTTCTTTCTTATATAGGAAGGGGGAAAGGATGGGGGACGGAAACAACCCATCATTCTGAGTCTCGGAATCACCACTTTCTTTTCCTAACTTGTGAAATGTTTTGACGGCGCACCAAAGGGGGGGGGTCTACTTAAATAACTTTACACCCTCCAGCCCCTTGTTGTTTGCTCTTCCTGATCATCTGAAGGCTTGGAAAGTAACAATCAGTGCTCCTAATGATAAGGTGTCATGGTGTTGAAGACAAGAGAGCCAAGATGAAGCTTTCACACCTTGAATTTTTATTTCGTGTAATTTCCCCCAAATGGTTCTGAACTATCTCTTCTGCAAAAGAGTGGGTTTCCATCCCCTCTCGCCAGGTCAAATGTCTCCTAAGGCTTTAATGTGAGGCAGGGAGGGGGGATTTAGGGGGACTACAGTATCAAAAAATCAATGCAGCAAGTCAGGAGCAATTGAAGTTCAAGGGCATGGGTTGGCTGTACCATTTCTATTTCTCAGATCTCGAGTTGGACATCAACAGCCTCGGGAGAGAGAAACACGCAGCGCGCGGGGCAGAGACCTTAATTAAAGTTTCTTTTGTCCGCGTCTGAATTGGGGGATGTTGCTGGATTCCTTTGCATTGAGGAGCGCGCATCCGGTGAAGGCGCGGTATCGAGAATCCTGGGCAAGACTGTTCTCTCCAGCACTCGCCCCCCGCCCCCCAACAGTCCGAGTGTGGGCATATATACCCGTAAATCAGTACAATAGAGGAGGAGGAGACGCGCAAACAGTTGGTTCCCATCGGATAGCGGGGTTTCATAAACAGGTCTAAACCCCTCGTTTTCTACGATTTTTCCGGATTGTATATTCCCGGGCAGAATCTCGCACCCTGAGGCAAGATTTCACCCCCTTCCAGTCAACACTTCCTGCCCTTTTCTCCTCCCACTCACATTGAAAAGCTCGGGAGCCCTAAAAGGGTGTTGATGGCGGGGGTGATAAATAAATAAATAAATGACACTAGGCGTGCGGTGGAGAAGAAAGGGGGGAGGAGGGAGAGGGAAGAGAAAAAGTAGGGAGAGGGGAACAAGGTGGAGAAAAGACACGAGCGAAAGGGAAACGGGAATCAAAGACAGAGGAGTGAAAGAAGAAAGGACAGGAAGACGGTGAGGTTGCTCTGCACTGGAAAGACCCTGGCTTTGTGCAGAACTGGAAGGATTCCCCCTTCCAGGTGCCCCTAGGGACCTGGGAAGTTCTTCTGGCCCAAGCTCCTCCCCACCGGGACCCCAGGGGTGTCTGAGAGCCGGCCGCTGCTCCCCCATAAATTCCTCGTGGCAACCAGAGGAAGCGCGCCAGGTCTCCGCCGTCCCCTCAGTGTTCCGGCTGATAATTTACCTCTTTGTCTTTAATAAAAAGCTGACTTTTCTTGTCAAGCTCTGCACCGGGAAAATAACAATCGTATTTCAGGTTGAAAGCTCCTATTACTGCTGGGTGTTCGCAGGCTGCGATAAAAATCTTCATCGACGTGAAGGTACCTCTTCTGGGTTGGCTTGGGTCAGAAGTGCTAAAATAGGGGCCGCCCTTCCCCGAGGCGTAGGGAACCAGGCGGTGGGGAGGGAGGAAGACGCGACGAGGTCAGAGGAGACCTTGAGTTTCCAGGCTCCTGGGGCACCAAAGGGCTTTCCGCAGTCGGGGAATGAGCCCTGGGGAGGAGCCTTTCGCTAGAACGCGAGCGCGCCCCAGCACGCCTCCGACCTCGTAAACCCACTTGGCAAAGACCGGGGAAGCCGCTGGCGGATCGACTGCGGTGAACTCAAGAAATTAACCTGCGCTACAATTAAACGGGCTGCCGCCCTTTCAGACTCACCTCGAGCGACCGAGACTGAGAGAGCTCCCGAACCGGCCGCGGGAGGGCCTGGCTCCACCCTCCCGTCCCAGAAGAAGAGGACAAAAAGGGGAGAAGGACTTGGAGATGGCCCCGCCCTTCAAACGCTCCAATCCTTGGAAACCAGACCTCCGCTCCAAGCCTCCACGTCTAGAAGGGACAAAGACAGCGAGGAGATCCTGAGACTGATGTGGAGATGGTGGCTTTCCGGGGCTTCTGATGTGGGTGCCTTGGGGAAAAAGTGTAATTCACCTGAAATAGGGCTCCAAAGATGATCTTAGGACAAGTCAGTCTTCTGCTTTAGAAGCAAACTGACTTCCCAAAGCTGTGAAGCAAACTACTGCAAAACTCCCTCACACCCCTGCTTTTTTAAGGTGACAAGGCTAAAATTTCAATTGATGATGTCTCACACATTTTTGTAGACTTTTAGAAGTCAAAAGTGCTTTAACTCTCCAACTAAAATACGTGAAAGAAATTAAACACAAGGGGAGTAAAGGGTTTGGTTGCTGGGTTTTATTTGGGGCAGTTGTTCAAATGATAGGAAAGCAATTGGAAAAATGTGAGCTGGGACAGTGAAAGAAAGCACTGTGACTGAAAGTTTTAGTGAAAACCTTAATAAACTTGGCACTTAAGTAACTGTAATTATGCTTTGCCATTAGCAGGCCATTTAGATAAGCAAGAGAAAGTTCACACCTCCTGCTAATTCATTCCCAAAGAATATTCACAAAGATAATGCAAGCCTAGTTGGTGGGTTATCTTCTCCATCAGGAAAATTAGTGTTAAATTTTTAAATTAAAATGGAAAAGCTTGAGTTTTACATACAGCCAACAATGTGAAGGAATTCTCATAGAAACATGTTGACTCCTTGATATTTACCTTTCGTACCCTACCTATGTTATTATCCCCCAGAGTCAGATGGGATTTCAAAGCTTTATTAATGTTCCAGGGAATAAGAATATGTTGAAAGTCTGGACTTTCTTCTCCTTATCATGGGTGGCTGGCATACAGACTCTTCATAAAGAGAAATTATGGCTCATCAAAAGAGTGACTTTATGAGCATTAATAGAATAATAAATCTTGAATTTCAGTTCAAGAAACAGTGAAGTCCTATAAGCAGAGTGACCCATGCAAATATGATCCACTTACTTGCCTAACACTAGCAGGAGAGGGATAATCTATAAATCATTTTGGTTATTAAAGCCTCAAGGAACTAAGGCACCCAAATCTCTTAAAGAAAAGTGTTTATAGAGAGAAAGGACTTCTACTAGACCTGCAGGAAGGACTCATGGGAAAAAATGAAGAGTTGATAAAGATTCCATTTAAAAGATTTTCAACTGAAACAGCAGTGCATAGATGTTCTGATGACAGGATTTTAATATTTACGGTCCATAGTATAAAAAAGGAAAATTCTCTCTGCTTCCTGAAAGCTATACCCCTTCCAAAAAAGTCTAGTTGATAGCTCCACTTCCTAAATTCCAGCCAGAAAACTGTTCCAGTTGATGCGTTTAGCAAAAACAAAGACCAGGTGAATACAGATTATGGCTTTCTCAGACGTCTTAATTATTCTACCTTTAAGCATTTACCCATATTGCTACATACCTCTTAACTTGCTGGGACTTTTCTGCCTATTAAAACTCTTTTTCTATGCAATTCAGTATAGTCCTTTCACTATTTGAGTTGTGATTTTCAATACGTTAGTTATGTTGAATTCTTGATACCTTTACTTTTGCTGAAAATTACTGTCTTTGAAAAGGTTTTCTGAAAATTTCAAATCAGATAATTATGGAACTCCCTCCAAATTTAAGACAGCAAAATCACTAGCACATCTTCTTTCTGATCTCATATAGAAAATTCAGTATATTTTCATAACCCATATTCAAACATATGTATCTGGTTGACTAACATCCATGCTTAGGGAGAAGGGACTAAAAGAAAAGGTCTAGATGATTCCTAGTCTTGAACAGCTCTCAAAGGAAGAGAAATTGTAATAATTTAAATTTACTCTCTATGTATAGTTATATATATATTTTTGAATACCAAAGAAGATATTTCAAACGTAATATTCTAAATTTCAAAAGGAAGTCTTGGTCCCATAAATGTAAGTTAAATTTGTGGTTCCATCAACATGAAACGCGTAATATTTAACTACTGAGTATTTATTCAGAATTTATAAAATGCTACCCTCAGAGCTGAATATTAGGGATACAAAGATGAATGAAAGAAGAGTCAAATCTTTGATGCATGATCTACTTCATGAACTAGCTTCAAAATCACATTTCTTGGTTACAGAATTTTAGTTTTTGTCTTACTCAAAAGCAATACAGGAATTTGGACTAGGAGAATCTGATTAATTTGAGCATTTTAGTCTCTACAGTACAGAAAAAATATTTTGTTAAAATAAATTTGTATAGTTCATATAAAGGTCAATATCTTGCCTTAACTCATAATTTAACATGAATTTCTTATTTAGAGACCTTTTTAAAATATAGACTGGTGATGAAACTGGGTAGTAGAGTACTTTCCTAGCATGTTCAAGTACCCAAGTTCTATCTCCAGCATAGAAAACATAAAATTTCTAAAAAAAAAAAAGAGCAATTTTAGATCAAGTATGGTTAGATTAATCAAAAATTTGAAGACACAACTGAATGAGTGCTCATTTCTAGAGGCACCCCTTCCAGCAGAAAGACCTGTATTTCAAAATGATGCTCAGAGAGAGGTGTCACTTGGTTAGAACACAGAACTTCAGAGGCTGTCAACTCTAGAATCTACATCTCTATGGCACTTGCCCCAAAGTTACTATTCTCATGCCACCTTCAAGATTCTTTTTCTTTGCTTTTGAGTTTTTTCCTTTGATATATCTCTATATTGCTATATATATATATATATATATATATTTCTATATTGGGGATATATTTATATATATCCCCACCCAGTATTAGGGACTGAACACTGAGCTACATCCCTGGCCTTTTTAATAGTTTTATTTTGAGACTGGTTCTTTCTCTAAGTTGCCCAAACTGGGCTTGAACTTGGAATCCTTCTGCCTCAGCCTCCAGAGTGCTGGAATTATAGTCATGTGCCTTCATGAGTAGCTCATATATATATATATATATATATATATATATATATATATGTATTT